TCCTTGATTTTTCTTCTATGTGACCAGAATATTCTGTATAAATTCCAAGCAATGAAGTTTGGTTGTTTCTCCTCGAAAAATTTAATAGGAGCTGACATCTGGAAAAACAGTACAGCTCGTTTTTGCACTTTGGTCACCGAAATGTGAAAAGAGAGGTCAAGTTTGATTAAATTTGATTTAAGTTGAGGCTTTTCTCAATTTATTGCTCCTCTGCTGGGAAGGAGAGTAAGGGATAGTTTAAACTCTCTTATAGTATAAAATTTCTCACTTTTTCTGACCGTTTACTTCTAAGAGAGAGGAGAGTAGGGAGAGTGGGAGGGAGAGAGGGGAAAGTGGGGAAGAGAGAGAAAGCAATGGGTTGGATGAAAAATGAAAAAAGGAAGGCTCTCACCAAATTCCAGCGCAACTTCCTTCCGCGTGAATCTAACCTCGTGATGTATTCAAATGAGGTCAGGCGCAGGTGTAATTTCCCCCCTGATAATTTAGCATATAAATGTCTGTCAGATTTTCTTTTGAAGCGCTGCATCGTTGAGATATTGCTGACGTTTCTAGCAGATTTCTCGGCCGCGTTTGAAGAGCTGGATCATGAATAATGCTCCGGATGAAGGCGCGAGATCTTCAGCCCTGAAAGATTTGCACGATCATCGGCTGACGAATTTCATTTTTACTCAACTGGTTCGCAATAGTATTATTAAAATGACACGTGGGTTTTCACCGCGAGAACAGGAATTTCATGGCTTTTGATCACGCGATGGCGTTGCGCACAGTGGATCGAGTCAATAGGATAGGTCGGCCAAAATTTGGAAAATTTAAACGCTTAACTCCATTTATACAAATTTTTGAGGATTTAAAAGTATGGTTCTATTGGTTTCCTTGTAAAATTTTCCTTAAGAAACACCCCTTTAAGTTTAATTTGTGGCGATGTAAACATAAAAATTTGCAGTTTTAGTCAAAAAATTATTGTCCGGCCTCTCTAATTGACTCGATCCACTGTGCGGCGGTGGAATAATGCAGTTAATCCGAAACGGAACTTGAGTCTTTTCTCATTTGTCTTACTTACCCCCCGTCTCCCCCGACCTCATCATATCGGGGGAAATCACCCCAACTACCCCTCGGACCCCAAAGCGTAACCTTAATCAGTCTGCTGTTGTACCGGGGATCTTGATGTGAAACCAGGTGATTTCGGACAGGAAATGTGTCTCTCTCGGCGGCATTATGCGCGCGGTAATCGTGGATTGTTGGAAATAATTTTAAATAATTTGGCCGCCGCTCGGATTGGATTAGTCGCTCTGGAAACGCGAAACTCTGTTTACGATGGCACCTCAAAAGATGGAACTGACCTTCGAAGATTAATTATTCTTTATCGATGTCCCCATTTTCCCCCAATTCTTTTGGATTTGTTCCACAGTCCACTGGAAAAAAAAGACATTGGATCTAGAGTCCAGACTCTTAAAAACATGGACAAGAAAAAATACTCTTGATTCAATCAGATTTAAGCTTAAATCAAGAACCAAGCCTCTTAATTTGAGCGAATTTCCTTTTGATTTAAGCAAAAATCTGATCGAATCAAGAGTATTTTTTCTTGTCAATGTTTTCAAGAGTCGGACTCTAGATCCAATGTGTTTTTTTTTCCAGTGTCCAGTCAAATTTGTTATTCAACCCACTAGGACATATTCTAAAATTGTAAGTCTTAATTGCAGTGCTAGGTAACGACCATTTAGTCCACGAATTTAAGCAAAAAATGCAGGTCATATATAATAGGTATTCAGCGTGAACATCTTCCATGGCCTATTATCGATTCTTTGTTTAGGAATCCCTTGTAAGTTTAGGAATTTGGCTGAAAATTCATGATCCATCTTAAAATGATGCAATTAAAAATGTGTATCTTGGTGTGCTACAGTATTCTCGGAAGTTTTTCCTTAATTTGTTTTAAACGGAGGCGAATTTGCTTTCCGGAAAAAGGCAAGATGGGTAGAGCAAAACAGGAAGACATGGGTTGGAGTGAAAAAATAATCTTAGAGTGAAAAGAAAATAATCCGATAATTTTCTCAAAGAATGATCGTCAATGGCTAGACAGTTTTTTCTAGTTCCAGGCTCGCCCTCGAGATTCAACGATCAGCGAGAATGATTTCCTTAACTGCCCCTGCCGTCGAAAAGTGTGTGAGCACACCGGCACGCCACGCGTGTTGCATACTCGCCGTTATTTAGGCGCGCATTAATATTCAGAGATCGACTCGCTCATAATTTATAAGCTCAGCCCTCCAAACCTGTGAAAATGGTTTCAAGGGCAGGAATCTTTTCACTGGTCATGAATTTTTATAAATCATGATATTGAGAATTTTGATGCGACGCTTCATCATGTAATGTTTGGCGTTTACTTACTGTTCAAATGGTGTTGGATCTACTTATTAGTGGTTAAAAGTGTTATAACCCTACCTGATTATTTCCCCTATAGGGATGATTAAATACGGCTAATTAACTTCAATCATTTAAACGGGAAGCTAACTGCACCCTACTACAAAGACGGAAGAAAATGAAATTTTCCGCAATCAATTTAACAAGTGTGGCACTGCACCATTCCCGCGATTCTATTTGAATTTATTAATTTTTTGTAGAGAGGCCATGAAGAAATAAAACGATCAGTATTTTGTTTCAGAGATGTCGTTATTATGTCACAAAAATTATTCTATCCAAGAATATTCCTGCATTTATTGGGAAGTACACGATTCAGAATTTTCCATCATAATAAATAACCGCTGAATAATTAGTTGTGCTAAATAATGTCTTCGCGCATAACTAAAATATGAAGGCAATCAGTCGTCATTTCATCGGCTTTTGAAGCGCCGCTAAAACGGTTATCAATGCGATGGAAAAATTCTGAATGAATCCAACTTAATGCGTATTTTTTGCGCATAAATTACTAACGCAATGTATTTTCCCCATCGAGTGTGGGCTACACAGACCATCATTTGTAAGCTGCCGCATCTTCATCCAGCCTTTCCTCTGGTGATTGTAAGTTGACATTTGCGGTCACTCAAAGTATCATTTTCATATTTTACGTAACTGGATACAACCTCAATCGCAATATCTCTGGAACGGGGAATTTTTATCAAAATTTAACAGCTCAAAAACAGCTTAAAATTTAATTTTCTTCCTAAAGCGTTGAAAAAAGTGACCTGAGGCAAACCTTGAGATAATCTCAATGCAAATCAATGACTTCGCTGGATACAAATCCCTAATTTTCAATCATTTGCATTGTTCGAGAAGAATTAAAGCATGAACCAAATGCGGGAACAGGGTCAAATATTTTCTAAGCCTCGAAGTTAATGTAAAATCGCAGCCACGTACCCAGTAAAGCAAGCCAACTCGCGTTTAGAGGAAATTAACTTGAATATGATGAAAAAACAACAACAGTCTGTTGCTTTTCTGTCATCTCCAACATATCGACTGTGTAATCACGTATCGCAATCACGTATCTCGTTTGCCGCGTTTGAGAATCTCCGGCCCTATTTTATTTTTGTGAAGGAGAACAATCGACATCATTGCTTGAAGTTTTCGCAGCTATTTTATTCGCCTAAAGAAGAAAAATCACAGCAGTTTTCAAGAATTGCCGTCGAGTATTTTTCCATTTGAAACATGAATTATGACAGGAAGTCTACTGCGTCGCAAACCGAGATACGTGGTCGCTAACTTACACCGTCGATACGTTTTTTCATCATATTTGAGTGACTTCTTCAACAATTGTAAATTTACGTAAATATACGACTACGACGACTTTACACAAATGCCGAGGTTTGAAAAATGTCAACTCAGATCTTATATTTAGTTAGTTTGGAAAATCTTTTTTTAACAGTGTTTAACAGCCCCTAAGTCTGCCAACACCGGTCCAGGCACCTAGTTTCCTTCTATTCCATTATCCATTTTCCGCGGCGTTCTCGTTCCAACCTCTTTACCGCACACCATTTACCAGTTTATTGCGCCTCTGCGGGTCGGCTGAAAAGATAGGAATCGCCGAACGGCGAAGATCGGAGATCTATGAGGCCAGTGTACCCTGCCCGGCGCCATCCCTTAAAAAGCCTTTTCCCTTAAGAAGAAAAAACCAATCCCTCCCTTAAAAAGGCACACTGCGGAAATGCCACCACTCGAGACCGCAGTAAAATTGCCCCCGGCAATCATTTTTCGCTAATTCTCCCCCGTTTTCAATTGGAGAAAATTACACCCGAATGAAATAAGAGACGATAGATGAGATTTTATCTGAAACTAGGTTTTTTTAATGATATACGCTTTCCGTGCGGCGGCGGCGGCGCCAGCTACTTAGCACGCGAAAAAGTTCTGCTCTTTAGTCACGAAACTGGGATGTTCGCACAAGAGCTCGCCCTGTTCCCTGCAGTTTAAGCACCCGAGTTGTTGAACTTGAAAAAAAGGTTGCATGACTCTCTTTTATGTCCGGGGGGATTTCCTTTAATTACAATTGCCACCCTCTCAATCTATCGTCGAGAGGCTTAGCTGTTTGGAGGATCCCTTCCTTCCAACCATTTTCCAATCAACCCTTTTTTTACCAACAACCCTCTTTTTTGTGGATTTTATGCGTAGGCGAATCCAGACTTTTCGAACGAGGGGGGGGGCGTAAAGGGGGTCCGGGGGTACCCCTAGAAATTTTTCGACATTTTAAAGCATCTAACATGCAGTTTAAGCCAATTTTGTCATGAATAATTATCGAATATGAGCGTCCTTCTTTCTTCTTTCCTCCTTCCTTCTTCCTTCCTTTCCGTTTATCCTCATTTTCTCGGGCGAACGGGGGAGGGGGGTGGTACGCCCCCCACGCCCCCTGGATTTACCTATGATGTTTTGAAGGTCTAAAGTTTCCTAAAGTAATCGGTCTCTGGTACAAAGACTTGAGTCAAAATAATTTTGAAGTCTGTTTCCAATTCTGAACTCGTCATAATTCACCCATTTATTATCTTGTATTAATTTTGTGATTTTTTATCGCTATGTTTCAGAATTTCTGTTACACGCTCCTTGCCTACACGAGGTGAAAGAGGAATATGAGGCGTGCGGAATAAACCACCAGAAAAACATTCACGATATCACCGCTGACACCAACTCCACTAACCACATCACCAATGAGCGAAAAGTCAGGAAACTGTGTTGGTTAGTATTAAACGCTCTTAATTTCTCTCTTTTCTCCCTCCTTCTTTTTTTCGGAAAAAATTAAAAATAATGAAGAGAAATTGAATTATTCTATTTATGAGCTCAACTGAGTTGATTTAAACTAATTTTAGTAGATTGGGAAGTTCCTCATTCCAAACCTCTCGAAATTAGAAGGGACGGAGATCGAAGTTCATGAAAAGTTCTAGTCCGATTAGCTGATTCAATTTCTATCTCTTTTTCGATTTATTTTTTTTTGAAAAAGCCGGAAATTTAAATTTTGCTACTTGCCAATAATTTTCATGCTGAAGGATCAATTTCATACTACGTAATTTTTCTACCACACATCTCCCAGCATTTCAACTTTCAGAATATCTTCCTCTGGGTCATGAATTTTTATCCGGCACGAATAAGTTTAATTGAAAGTGAATATCGACGGTGAAACTACCAAACCACGTATCTCGGTTTGCGACGTCGCAGACTTCCTGTCATACTTTATTTTTTAAATGAAAAACTATTTAACGTCCAGTCTTGAAAATTTCTGTGATTTTTCCTCTTCGCGCGGAGAAAATTCTGTGAAAATTTCAAAAAATTATATTGATTTGGTCTACTTCCAAAAAATAAAATGTGAGCGTAGATTTTTAAACACCGCAAACGAGATACGTGGTTTGGTAGTTTCACCGTCGATATATTGATTTATCCTAGTCTCTAAACGTGCATTGTTTGATTTGATTCCAGTTCATTCCAAGAGTACCTTCAGTGCTCACAAGAAGTTGTTCTCAAGAAGTGCGGTGAAGAGACGGCCAAGTTCATGGAAGTATTCTTCGCAAAAATGTCGTCGTCACTAATTCAGGTGAGTGTTCACTGCAAACAACACTATCATTCCGTTTTAATCCTTCGAAACGCGTCACGTGACCAACAATAATGTATGCAGTTTGTCGAAGGAAAAAAGTGACACGGATCGATTCACGGCCGTGTCTTGACGAAATTCCAATCGTTCCTGTCAAGGCCTCCAATCTGAAGGTTCCGGTTTCGTTAACCGGAAACTTGGGTCACACATTATGTGACTATAGGAACCTAAGAATTTGAGGATTTTATTCCTTTAAGTGGGAAAGTCGTTCCTGTTAGATCGGGTCGGAAATCGGTTTCTCGGACTAAAAACTGTAGTGCCCCCAAACGAACTGAAACTGAATGGCTTGTTTCAAAATGAGCCTGATTCCGGGAAAAAATCGTGAAAAAACACCAAAAAAACCTGAATTCAGCCGATTTTTGGTGAATGAAAATTTGACACATCGTCACCTTCCGGCCAAAGTATCTTAAGCGCCATGTGACGTTTCAAAATTTCCGCTGCCATTTTATTTTTTTACAGAGAAATTGGCAGTTGAATATTTTTGAAAATTTCATGGAATTTAATCCTTAGCACAAAGAAAATTCAGTGAAATTTTCGGATAGTTTCGTTAACCAATTTTTCTGCAAAAAAATAAAATGGTTGCGAAAATTTAGATATGTCGCATGGCGCTTTTGATACTTTGGCCGGAAGGTGACGACTTGTTATTTATATTCCTGGAAGAACTTCGTAGCCAAAAGTATGGAACTTTTCGGTCCTTTAAAGACGCAGTACGAACGTGCTTAGACTTTTAAGTTGGACTTTTTCAAAAGAAACAAAATTCGCGCCTACTTATCAGGGTGTCGAGCATCATGAAAAACCGGAAAATATCATGAATTTTGGCCGATCAGGAAAAAATCAGGAAAATCGGAAGAATCGGACGTTAACAGGAATTTTTCTTACGCGAATCTCCTCAGCGGAGAAGTCTTACTGCATTTTACCTGCCGTGCCAGGAGTCGTTGCGCTGTCTTTGTTTCCGATGATTTCTCAAAGAAAAATCAGGAAAATATCAGGAATTTTCAAAATGAAAAAAGCAGGAATTTTTTATAAAATATCAGGAAAAATCAGGAAAATATCAGGATTTTTCAAAATTAAAAAATACTAGACACCCTGCCTATGTTTTCGACGTAAAATGAAAAAAAGTTTTTTTTTTTGGAAAAAAATTAAAGATTCGCGGCACCCCACAAATATTTTCCCGCAGTAAAATTTAATTCACATTTTTCCCGAGTCGAGCAGTTTTTTGAGCAAGAGAGTCTGTCCAACCGAAGTTTTTTTCTCGGCACACCTCACACAATGAAATATAGTGCAGGGGTCATCACGAACCAGAGTCATCAGAGGGAGGAACAAAGCGGAGTTCTTGTCCGAGGGATGTTCACCCGTCCTTGCGATTGCAACTCCGTTTCGGGGAGTTACGTGCCAAAATCATTTGAGCAGGAGCGAATGTAAATTTGCCAACGGGCCGGCACACGCGTTGCCGAGTTGGACGAAGCCACCCCCGGTCGCGCAGAGACACACGCAAACGCAATTACGAATTTAAAAACAACGCAGATATGTTTGTGTTTTCCAGCTACTCAAGTGTGAACTGATAAACCGTATGAATTCTTGATGAGCTTTGCCCCCTCCCCCCCCCGTCCCCTCGCAGCTCCAGCCAGGGACCGTCCTCCCGTGTCGCGTCCCGCAAGGGATGACCCCAAGTTGGAGGGAAGATCGCGTTACAGCCGTGTTTTAATTCACCGCGAGCGAATATTTCTCGTCCGAGTCTGATGATGGAAATGAGACTCGCCGAAACTTTTTCTCAGCGGTTTCCACGCGTTCAGACCGGGGGTGTTTATCTCCCGAAAGGCTCAAGGGTTCTGCGCTTAATTGAAAACGAAAATCCGACGCTGTGATCTGATATTATGTTGAATGCTTAATGTGAAGTATTTTGATGTGAGGCTTTCAAACATTTTATATTGTTTTTTTTAACGGTTTTTGCAATTTTTGTTTCGCGCCTCTGTAACTCGCTCAGGTTTAAGGTTTTCATGATCCCTTTTACCAAACCAAATCTTCAGGAAGGGTGATTTCATTAAATGCACAAAAATTGACCATTGTTCCGTAATATTTGGTCAAATTTCAAGCCTTGGGTGGCAAGAATGAGCATGACAGATGGGGTACTGTGTTCTATACTCTGAATCAACAGTGAAACTGCAAAAATGCGTATCTCGGTTGCAGTGTTTCAAAACCTCCGCTCAAACTTTTTTTTTTTTTCAAAAGGAGACCCAACCAACATCATTACCTAAAATAAATAAATTTTCACATAATATTCATCAATTAAAGTTAGAAATCACCGAAGTTTTCAAGAAATGAGGTTTGGTAGTTTTCCACGTAGAAAATAAAGTATATGACAGGAAGTCTGCAACGCCACAAGCCGAGATACGCGTTTCTGCTGTTTCACTGTCGAAATTGTACCCCCTAGCATGTTTATCATGTTTTTTTCGTCGTTTTTTGGCCGATAGCTTATTAGTAAATTCGTATGCTAAAAAACAAAACAAAAAATCAATCATTTTTATTTTGAAAGAAAAGAAACCAAAAAATAAGAAGAAAAGAAACACGATGAATTAATCTATCCCTCATTTCACGGAAATATTTCCAGTTATTCTGAAGCAGGTGTAAAATTTAAGTTCCCCCTTGATTTATCGATCCAGGGGGCAAGCGCGGGCCCACCGCACCGCCTCAGTTTGCTAAAAGATGCGGTCATGACAAATGCCTCTGGATTAGCGGGACTCTGGAAGAGTGGTGGAAACCGGGCCGTGCGCTGGAATAAATACCAGTGGCGTGGCGTGAATTGCGATATATCGATTTTCATGTCATTGAAACCTATGGAAAAGGATCGATAAACAGGGTGTTCGCAGCGAACATCTCAAGAATCGATTCTTTACCATAGGTTTAAATGGCATAACAATCGATAAATCGCAATTCACGCCACGCCACTGATAAATACGCACCGCTCCAACTTTTCAACCGTAGTAGTATCCTAGTCTGATCAGACCGTTAGTAAAAATGCTGAGGAATATATTTCAGGAGCGGTGGCGAAGCGTGAATGATCGATTATCGATATTTTTGCATTTGAAGCTATAGTAACGAAAAATAAAAACAACATAAAATAAAAAACATATAAAATAAAAAAACTGTAAAATAAAAATATAAAAAACTAAAATAAATAAAAAATAAATAAATAAAATATAAAAAATTTGAATAAATATAAAAAACAAAAAAAATAAAGAAACAATATAAAAAAATTGTAATTTAATTAATTTTTTCAAGTCATAAAGTAAAGAATCGATTATTAAGGTGTCACCCTGTTTATCGATCCTTATCTGTGAAATGGGGACATTGACTTTAGAAAAACACAGTATACGACGGCATCCATGCATTGCTATAGTACCTACATACTATGATTTCTTCCCTTTTTGATTCATCAGTTCGTGATACACTTGTTTGCACTAGTTGCACTTAATCGACTTTAATTACAATGTTTATTTTTATTTTTTGTTGCAGATCCATTGCAGTAAATACACGCCGGGATCTCAGCTTTGTGACGAAGCTTTCTCGTCAGCGACCTCTGTTTCCTCCTCGAGTCTCCTGGCCACCCTCGCTGTGAGCTTAAGCATACTCTACTCGCTACGGAGGTGTCTTTGTCTATAGTTCCACCGGGGCGAACGTCCTAGTTAGACGGGACCGGGCCATTCCAGCGATCTTCTTTTTTACTTGTTACTATAGCTGTACATTGAATTTTAGTTGCTGTAATATTTTCAACTATACACCTTGTGATAGTAATTTTTTAGAGTGGTTCTTCGAATACTCCAGCGAGTTCGCAGACTCTTCGCGACTGACGGATTTTACGGTTTAGCGAGAAAACCCCCAAAAATATTCGTATCACTGGAAAAATGGTTTAAAAAAAGTAATTTTTCAAATTTAAAAACAACCTTTGATTTGAAGAAAATATGTCGAGGTAAATGATTTATTTATTCGAAGAAAATTTTTGAGTGAAAGAATTATTTTACGCATTCAAATGAGTATTCTTTTTTTAAATTTAAAGAAACTTAAAGCTGTCATCTAAGACAAAAGTTACATTTCTTTGAATTATAGAATGCTTCATTTGAAATATTAAAAACTCTTTCCCTCAAAAAATTTCTTTTAAGCATAAGAGAATGAGACAAAAAATTGTCTTTAACTCATAGACCATTGTTTTTATGTAGGGTTTATTTACGTTCGTTGACGTCATGAAGGATCCATCGGTGAGGTGGAGGAGGAGTACTCAGGAATTAGAAAATCGATCCAATCACTGAAAAAATTATTAATTGTTTCAAACATTTTTCGGTTTTATGCTCATATCATCTCATTTATATTTTTACCTGCTGAAAACTTAAAAGTAAATACGTAAATTGGAGTCTCTGTGTACAAGCCTCCTCCCCTTAGCCCTCTCTTTTTGCCGAGGAACTTTTTGTGATGTTGATGTGTGATTTTTTTTCTTCTCTCTCTCTTTTAAGTTTCTAAGTATTTCAATTACTTATTATTTTTTTGTAGTTATTTATTATTTTTTCACGTTGTTTTTATTCAATTTATGCGTATTTATGATTTTTGCATCTTTCATAGAGTCGAGAATTTTCTAATTATGCAACAAATTGTGTTCTTTTTACTATTTTTACGTTCCGAGGCAACGTGCTTTTTTAAAGTTTTTGTTTTGTATGAAGAGTAACATAAGTTACTTTATCTATTTTTCTCTCGCAACTTTTTGTATTCTGATCTATATTCTACGATTCTTTTGCATTCTTTCGCTCTTCAGAATGAACCATCCATAAGTTTAAGAGACAATAACAAATTGTACGCGTGTATGTGCCGTTTGTCGCTAACCATTTCTAAGTAATTCATTTTGTAATCTACTCCAGTCTGGCAGTGTCCAAAGAGAGCGATGTCTCGCACCTCGGTGAACGAGTTTTGGAACGAAACTCCCAACGACTGATTTGAGCTGGAAAGTATTCGAAGAACACAAACCTTAGTGATAAGTAACTATTAGATTTTTGTCAGAAAATAACGGCGGAACTGAATATTTGTGCATTGACTCTTTATTCACGGGTATTATTAGTGAATGTACTCTCACGCTTGTTTCCTTGATTATTGTAAAAGAGCGATGTCGTAATATGCAAGTGACAATGATCGACACCTATGTACTATTTAAAAACATTAATTTTCTCCTTCGCGTTGATCACGAAGTAGAGATATTCAAATATTGGAATAATTGAATATTAAACTAAACAAATGTATAACTGACTCCAAGGATTGTGATAATATTATGATGGTATCTCTCGTGTTAGGATATGCACGGAACATGCTTGTTGGTGCATGAAGATTTTTTTTTAGTTTACACGCACTATCCGGTTTACTCACTTCTTTTAAAATCTTATCCCGAGAAAAACTAGGATCCACTATGTTGCAAAAGACAGAAAGGAAAAAGAAGGGAAACCCCTTCTCAAGGATATTGTAAGTTACATTCGTTTCATCGGTACAATGATAATCAACTGTAGGCTCGTCAAGGTAGTGCTTTTTGCCTTATCGATGATTTGAAGGAATTTCCAGTGCTCATTCACTTTCAGTACTTTCCTGTTCCTTTCTTTAGCATATTAGCTTGATGCAGGCAGTGTAGCATTACTACTGCACGTTCCCACCCTTAAAATCAATTTTTTTTTTTTTTTTGGTTCATTGCGGTTGCACTAATATTTTAGAATATTTGCCTTTTTCGCTCTTCAATTTGTACTGTTTTCTTTTTTTGTTTTTGTTTACAAAGACCTCCTTTGCATCCTCGAGCGAACAGCATTGTGCAACCGAATGCTTTTATCTTTGGTTTATTTTTTTATTTTTAAAAATAATAATTAGCATGTTCAAAAAAGAATTTTCCAATTGTTGGAAAATCAAATTGAAAACTTTGCTAGCACTTAATCGAGAAAATTGTAAATACCTACCTAATTTAGTACGCATCAACCAAAGCATTTTGTTTGTATAGATGTTACAGAGGCTGATAAGTATACAGTTAGGTAGCCATTTGCAATGAGCCCTACTTTATCATTGATTCCTTTTCGTGTGTAAGTGCGTGGTAAATGATTTTGAGTGTTAAACTTATCTGCGCGTAAAAACTATCATTTTTCGTTACCAAACGTTTACTCAGAAACATCTGAGCCTTATTTAAAAATTGTACTCTAATTTATCTGTTTGGGATGGATGCATCGTCTTGCTTTTATTCCTATGCTTGATGATTAGCACTGATGTATCTACCTCGTTCGTCTTCTGTATCAATATGCGTACCATTTTGGTAAAACTCAATTCGTCTCATGTCATTTAAAATTCTACTTTTCTATCATTAATTAGGTGCCTATTTCTGTAATTAAATTTTCCAGTTTGATTTATGTACGAATATTTCAGCCATGAGGACCGTCCGATTTACCTGTTAGACGTAGAAAGTATTAGGATCTCATTGTTGGTCACAAAAACAATAATGTATTTCATTATAAATTTTTTTATGAACAGCCAGTGAGCACGAGCTTTTGAGTGCTCTTGTAGTGAAATTTTACCTCTCTGGTTGCTCATATTACCAGTTATTTGAGATCCTTCGTTGTTCCTGTTAGTTAATTAGGTAGAATGGTTCAAATAACGTGTAAACGTGCGTTAAGGAACCTTTCCCTTCCTGTATCAACCCACGTTGTGTACAATTTTTTAAGTGTGCCATGCATCAAGTCTGTAATGTTACTCCATGTGAGACTTGGCTTCAACCGTCAAGTTTTGAAACCAAAGATTAAACGTCTTATGCTGGTTAACCATTATTATTCCGAGGCATAAAAAGGGGAAGAACACATTTTTTAACTTAATGTGATTTTTTTTTAGCTTTTTCAGATCCACTGATAGTGCTTTGATGTAATGCAAACACAACTCTATACCAAATACACAGTGTATTAGGTAAAGTACGTTAAATATAGAAGAAATACTTTGAACAAATAGCTCCACTAAATTTCTGCAAGTGTGCATTAAGAAGTATGCAAGTTTTCAGACTCCTTCCAAATTTTTGCAAACTTAAATGGTTTTTTTCTTCACCTGAAAACATAGTGCATATCACCTCATCAAAATAATGACCTGATATTCTCTCTTCATTAATATATTGATATTTTCCAAGATTACCATTAATTTCTCCCCCTCCTCTCCCCCTCCCATGCCAACTGTTAATGTCGTTTTATAAAGAAGAGGAAATTCAGTCTCGAGCTATCGATTGTCAATAGACGCATACATAAAAATACATTCAGGCAATCAGTTTATTTTCTAACGACATGAGATGAAAAGAAATAGGTAACTGCAAAAACAGGTTTGGATGAGCATGTAAAATTTGGAGTCTCGCAAGATTTTAATTTTACTTTCTACTGCCAAGAGGGCGTTTCAAAATAAACTGACTGGCAATTTTCACATGTTGTGGAAAACAGCCACACCTCACCCATTTTAACCAGTGATTTTTTATGGATCCCTGTAACGAGGGTAACTGAGTGATTCCTGCCTTTTACTTTCTATATTTTCGTGAGAATACAAAACCTATTTCTGATGATTAGGTTATCTGAGTATGATGAGAATGACAAGCAATAGCTTTGAATGGACTGTACATCCTCAAAAGACTTTATTATTTTTAGTTATGAATTTTTAAGGAATTTTTTTAGTGAATTTGTACAGGAAAGTGATGCTTTCATATCTTTAAGATACTTGAATTGTTACTGTGCATAATATTGTAAATTTTAATTTATTGTTTTTAAAAAGAAAAAAAGTAAATATGTATTTCAGATGGTAAATTATTGAATTGTTGCTTTGTAATATATTGTATTTATTAATGTTGATTTGTAAAAATTGAAAACGAAAAAAAAATTAGGAATGTTTCATAAATAAATTTAATTTTATTTATAGAAAAATTTAGTTCATGTCTTTCAAAATTGCTCCTCGCTATTCATTCACCTTGGGCACGCAAGCGGCCTTTTTAGATGTATTGCAAAGCATTACGTAACGAAAAAATTCCAGTAGGACTTTCATATTTTTTAGTTGCAAAAAAACAAATTTCGCCCAGTGGCAACTGAAAGAAAAAAGCATTAATCTCAGATTACGGCAATGCAAGTCTGAACTCGGTCTTTTATTTGTGTTATTGGGAAACTGACTAAATGTTTCTATTGAATATTCTCGTGAATTTGATTCCCTCATGATAAAAAAATCACACGAAACGGCAAAGAAAAAATTTGATTGGTTCTCCTTGAATAATAAATAAAACGTAATGGGAGATTTTCAAACGCCGCAATTGAGCCACACGCTTTTCGCACTAAGTGCAAGCCATCAACAATTTGAACAGCATAGCAAAGCTAATACTTGTTTCTGCAAAGAATGACTCGATTACGGCCGATTTCATTATGGATAAAGTAAGGGGAAAGCCAGACCGGCCCTGCAAGTGTCATTGAGGCGGTGGAAAATTAAATTGAAGCGATGTAACCCAGAGAACTGGACAGCAATCAGGACATACGGATAGCAGGAATCCGTTTAAGCGACAATTACTCATGTCACTCTAGCGTTTATCGCAAGCTGTAGTTGTTTGGGTAGCCGCTATCCACCTTCGAAAACTTGTCTAAAATTTAACACACGGGTACACGCAAACCGAGGGAGGAGAGTTTTAACCATGGTCTGACTTATGCAGGCCGTGGGGCTTCTCACGTATCGATGGCAGGATGCGAAAATTGGTTATTTTAATTCCAACGTTTGGACATTTCCAATTATCCCTGGTAAAAATTGGCGATAGGAGCTGCGTTTCAAAATACCATGGGAGTTCTTATAGCCGACTAAAGAAGGCTATTGAAAATCATATAGCTGGCTGTCGAAAGCGGAGCAAATCATATAGCCGGACTATACGAAGCTATAAAAAAGTATACAGCCGGGCTATAGTTCCTATCGCCGGGCTTTACACTTTATCGCCATTGGCTATAAAAGGCTATAAGAAATTGTGTAGAAATTCGCGTGCTTTGGAAATCATTAAGTTTGATACGGAACTACCTTAATATTTATAAAACACAATTTATACTTTCCTTTAAAACATATTTTTTTTTTTCATCAATTAAAATGAGAATAGTCCATACAGAGTGTGCAAACATTTCAAAATCATGAGTTGAAAAACGCTGACTCCGCGAGATTAAATATTAGAGCCTAACACAAAACGGAGCGGCGACGCACTGGCGCCTACAAACCTAACAGGGATACTTCACGCATTGCGCAATGCGTGAAGTATCCCTGTTAGGTTTGTAGGCGCCAATGCGCGTTCCGCGCTGGCTGCCCGCCTGCCGCAACGCAGCGTGCCACGGCGTCTGAAGCTACTATTTCACACCAGAGGTATTGCACAGTATGCTTTTAACGCTTTTTTTATTAAGAAGCGAAGGAAATCCACGAAGAATTTCAATAAATTTTTGATCACATTTAAAAAAAAACTAGAATATGATCACAGACGTACACAACATTGTAATCTGAGATAGGTGTGCATATTTCGACTTATGGGCATCAATATTTCAGATAAGGACGCATTAGAAATGAGAATGTGCAGTCTGCACCATCTGCACCTTGCAGAAGAAAAAACAAGAGGAAGAGAATAAGAAGAAGAGGCGGAGGAAGATGATGAAGAGGAGAAGGAGAGAGAGGTGGATACCTTAAGGGATGAGAGCCGAAGGGTATTAATGGCGCTGCAATGGTTTGAAATTTCTCCTGAAAACCTATTTTCTTACTCATTAAAAGGTGCATGACTCACATAAGATATTTGAAGTTTCCAAAAAATTACAAAGAGCACTCATCACAAAAAATGTCGAAACACAATTTGAAATATTTTTGAGTAGGTAAATAAAAAAATTTTTAAATGAAATTGTCAACGTCGCATCGCAAGTAAGGCTGTCTGGTTTTCACCCCCTCGTCATGTTCTTATCGGGGTAATTAGGTCGTAAGTTTAACCCCAACTTTATTGATAGGAACATATTTTATTCGAATACATTTTTATTTTAATGCAATTACTCTAGTGTAAGTTATTACGCACTTATTCCAATTCACGCATTTATAGTGTTATTTTTAATATTTATATCCATTAATGAGAAAATACAAAGGCGCGACTTGAAGATTATTTCAAGCCTAATATGAATAGATTGAAAACTTCAAATTATAGCTGAAAATTAACTTCATTCTACCAACGCTGTTTTTGATGCGGACGGAAGAGCGTCTGTAAGAATGACTGGCATTGCACAATTAAATAAAGCGGTAGCTTTTACGCAATTTTAAACGCTTTTAACCGCAGGGATGAATGAATCTAAAGTTATTTCACAGCGTCGAAACGAATAAATGAATACATTAATAAAATATCGCATTATCCTTTCTGCGTCCGATGGGTTTACCTTTCCGGACACATTGAACTTAGGAATGCAATGTTGCCGCTTCATTGTCAGAGCTTTCAATATTTGCGTGGTTTTTCGGAGTTTGCATAATTGCAGCATCGTAAAAAAAATATCTAAAAATTATTCGTATAATAAATCTTTCTATGAAATCCTATTTTAAATGCGTCCTCTCTTCACCAAACGAAACCCTCGCATCAGTGCCATGCGAGGTGTCGCATTTCGACGTCTGTCGACATCAAGAATCGGTCCGCTGGCAACGTCTTGTTAGTCGAGCAATTCAAGAATACAACTATTAAGGCTCCTGAATCTCCGCATTTGCCTATCTTGATAATTGAAGGCAAATCTCGTGCCGTCTTGAAAAATCGAGCGACTGCGGCAAGCGCTCTCATCATTTCTATTAACAGTGACGAAAAGAGGAGCACTGGAAAAAAAGCACATTGGATCTAGAGACCAGACTCTTGAAAATATTGACAACTAAAAAATACTCTTGATTCAATCAGATTTTTGCTTAAATCAAAAGGAAATCCGCTCAAATTGAGAGACTTGGTTCTTGTTTTTGTTTTTAAGAGTCTGGACTCTAGATCCAATGTGTTTTTTTTCCAGTGAGGGCTCATAACTCAAGGTGCCAGGTCTTGCACTTCAAGAGGGCCAATATACTTGTCTTAGACAAATTTTAAGCGTACCTATCCCGTAGGCTAGTAACGATTTCAGAGAAATAAAGCATATCTTCCTTCGCAATTAATAAGAAGCGAACTGTAGGCTGTTTGTGAGCCTGAGCAGACAGCAATATGACTAGGTTTCGTTTTTCGAAAATTAACTGTTCTCTCCTACATAGCTTACACGAACAAAATAAAATAAGATTCCAAGAACTTATTTAAAAAATGAAAAAGAATAATTATAAAAAAAATTGGCAAAAACGTGGTAAAAACAATTTGATGTCCTCGTACCTGGTTGCTAAACTGCGAATACAGTCGCTGAAGGAATGATCTCGATTGCAGTTTCATTTTGGATCAAAGTCTTCTCTCTTACTATGCTTTAAGGGTAGAACTAACCAACCTTATTAGTAATATGATGAGAAACGGTGTCGTGCTTAGAATATTTCATGAGAGGAAATGTCCTTAAGTGAAAGTTTCCTGAAAATAACGAAAAATGACATTTATTGGGGAATATTTTCCGGTGATGGGGGAGGGGTGTCAGATTCATTTTACTTGTGTGTAGCTATTGAAACAAAATAATTTAAATTAACTTTCAAAGTTGTAGTTCGCTCCACTGGCGTAGACAAGGGGAGGGGGGTGTCCAGGGGGTCTGGACCCCCTCAGCCTCGTTAATTGTACCCTTATTTTTACTTTTCAAGGGCAGGCATAAAATATGATCAGGGACGTGCACTAAATAATGTACATTTGACCGTCACGTTTACGTCGACGTAAACGACGTGACGTTACCGTCACGTTTATGAATGGACACCACCCCCTCCCCCTAAAGGATTCCCAGCTACGCCACTGACAAGCTCTGTACTCAAAGTATAGGATTTTGATTTAAATTACATAAGTTTTGTTTTGAAACTGTTGAGTTATCTTATCATCTTCAACATCATGTTTTACTTATTAAACTATTAAAGCAATCAATCTATAAAAGTGTAGTTAGTAATGTGTACAACGCCCTTTTTTCATGGCTAGGCACTGATAGTAAATGACAGTAATAAGATATTACCGTGCTGAAGAAAAATGAAATGATGTCGATTAGAAGTTCAGACCAATAGAGGATTGAGCAAAAGGTGTCCGCAGAAAATACGGGGGGGGGGGGGGAGCAGCAAAGATCATTTTAGACACCACGCGTCTGTTGCCATCAAAATAAATGAATAATTCATACCAAATAATCGGGTCAGTGTCTTGACTTCCGAAAGAGAAAAGTCACTGGGCCGGGAGTTTTTTCTCACCGCTAAAGAGGAAATCGAAAAGTAAAACTTTGAAACGGAGGACATCGATGCTTGAAAATATGAAAAATGGAAAATAAAAGTTCGCATCTCGCGTGTCTGGGTAGTTTTTCCTTTATTTTTACTATCAGGTATTTTTTTCCTCTTTTTTTCCACGGAATATTGCTGCATTTTACTACGACTAGAGATTGAGCTACTGTACTCCTGATCTGCTGAGTAAGCCTTCATGGAATGTCGAAAAAAAGAATAATCCAAGGTTTATGTACTACCGAATTACTCGCCTACTTTAGGATTTTCAGCTGTTTTGAAGAACTGAGAAGCAATTTTGTTCCTAATGCGGAGTGCGGGAAAATGGATTATTTTGTAGACATTATCATATTTAGGTCGGGAGAAAATAATTCTTCCTTGAGACTTCATAGATATATCTGCCTTAAACGATCAGAAACTCCCCCAAAGA